GGAGTTGAAATTGAGGTCCTGTCTGGTGAATGTCGGTTTACATTATGTTAGTACATTTTTTTTTTTTTTTTTTTTTTTTTTTATATAAGTGATGTTTTCCCAGTCTCTTTTCAGAGTTTAATCCATGATTATATTTTTAAAAAGTTAACTACTTGTTAAATGATCTGCCTTGTTGAGAATACACCAACTACAGAAGAGTAAGACCTTCCTCACAAAGGGACCACCTGTTTACCATGGGTGGAATCCTGTAACATCTGAGGACAGTATCCAGATGTCTATATGGCCATGTGTGTTACATAGCCTTACTTGGGTTTAATGGGTGGTCCAAGAGGGCTGATCCAACTGACTAACTCATGTCAAGCCTTAACTCGTACATTATACCCACTGATAAATTTTATCAATTTACTGTTATAATCAATAAGAGCTATTTGTTAGAAAGTGGTGGCAGTGTTTCCCCCCAACATAATCCATTATTGGGCTCCAAGGCAGGTGGTGTGCATGGAAAATGAAATCTCACAAATACATCTGTCTTATAACAAATCAACCAAGAGAATGCATATTCATCCTGATATTGAAATTGAAAAAAAAATTCCTTTCCAAAATTCATAGTTCTTAAATCAACAAGAATCACAAATCTTCCCCATTCTTAATAGAAAAGATCATATCCTCAAACCTGCCCCCACCCAATTTAACAAAAGTAAAATATAGCACCTTACTGGTAGGTGGGAGGAGGAAAAAAATAACATAATCCATATCGAATGCTGAATTCATTTAAGGGAGTAGTGAAAAGTAGGGAATTCCTCAATTGAAGAAATAAAAAATGAACTGAAAAAAAAAACAATGACAGTGATGTAAAAAGAATAACTATAAACAAAGATGGAGAAACAATATAAACCTACATGTATATAATAACATTCAACACTCCCACAATCCCAAGAGAGATTAAAATAGGATATATAATAGAAAATGTCCAACAGTATATCTCTAACCATTTAAGATGTTTTAAATTTCAAAAATACAGGCATCCTGAAGATAGATGTACAGGGGAAAAAGTTACAAAAAAAAATGTGATGATAAGGATCCAGATCATGCAAAGGATCAATGCCGGAATATGATTAAATGTACAAATTGTGGTGGAAATTATGTACTTTATGTACAAATATGTGAGTTATAGAGAGAAAAAAGTGATTCTTGAAAATAAAATACAGCCAAAACCTTGGCTTCCCAGAAGCAAGGAAAATAGTAGAAAGATTAAGGAGCAGAATTACATGCTCAAATATTGTAAAAGTTAAAGAAAATACATCCAGTACAAGAGAAAAATAAAAATATAGAAAAACTGCAACAACTAGATTCAGATGACTGGACAAAGTTTATAAAAAAATTCAAAACTAATCTTGAGAAACAAGAAAATAAATCTATTGAGAAGCTATCCCAAAAAACAGATCAACACAGCAATAAAAAATAACCCAATCCTAACCAGAAAATGAAAAAAGATAAAAAAAAATAATGGAAAAATTGCCCATCAAACTGAACCTTCCTAAACTGGAGAAAAAAATTACAACAGATGAAAAAAGAATTGACTAAACCCCAGCACAAAACCAATTTGGAAATCTTGATACAGGAGACACAACCAAAAACAAACAAAAATTTCAAAACAAAGACTACCAGAAATGAGAAACCTCTTATTAAACAAAACTATGCAAACAATGGAAAAGATCAAGCTCATAATGAAGAAAACAAACAGATCAGAGAGCATAGCAGACCAAATGCCCAAAACCTAGAAATGTGAACAAAAACACAATACAGCGACTAATAAACTTTTGTCTGGTGGTCATTTACTCACAAGAAATAATCTCAAAAGAACCAAAAATGTACACCAATCAGTTAAATACCTAAACAACTAACCCCCACTACATCTGTGATTGGAAACTCTATCATTATAATATGCACTTAAACTTAAAAATAGCTAGAAAAAAAACCTTGCATACCTCACACAAAATGGGGAAAACACAGCCATCCTACAATGGAACTGCAGAAGTACAGGACCCATTCTATGAAGAACTAAAAAGACTCCAAGAAACACCACTTAAAAAGAAAAAAAGCAATGACTACTACTTGAAAGGATGTGACATCTACGATAAAACTAACACTTCAATAGTAGATAACAGGCCAACTGGTGGCTTATCAATTCTTGTTAAAAGAAGAAAAAAAACTACCCCACATGAAATATTCCCACTGAATACAGAACTGCAAGCTAATACAGTAAGGATCACTCTACACTGCACTATAACAATCTGCTCAATATACATTCCACTAAAACAAAAATTTAACAGAGCAGCAATTTATAATTTTTACTGAATCACTATCTAGTTTAATAGCATTCAAAGAAAAAAAATATCAAACCACCCATACATTCATAAATTGGTAGAAAGCTATCACAATCTAAAGAATAATAATAATAAAAAAAAAAAAAATATGTAAAAACAATCCTAGCTTGGAAACATAAAAGCAGATACATTGGCAAAAAATGCCACTAATATAAAAATTACAAATATTAAGATACCAAACACTGACATCAAAAACGAAATCACTACATCTATGAAAGGAAAATGGCAAGCAATCTGGGACAGTTAAAAGTAATAAATTTTATGAAATTAGACCAAAAGTTGAACTTTAGACTGCAGAACCATTGCCTGGATGAAGGCAAGATACTATGCTGACCAGGGTTTGAATCACACGCATATCTTACCCATGTACACCTCCATAAAAGGCTGAAAACACCATGATGGACACTTTGTGAACACTGATTAACTATAAAACACATAATGATAGAATGCAAAGGATATATACATGTACACAGTAATTACTATAGTATATCAAATTTTGCAATACTATTTTTAAAAAGTGCATCTTTCTCAGTTACTAGGATTCCTGAGGGAAATGGTCTTCTTAAACTCTTGTAAATCCAATACAAAAAGAAAAACTCCACAAAATATTTGTTTAACAATATAAAGTATTCACATCCAAAAAATTGGCCAACACAAGCAGTCACTGAATAAAAAAGAAAAAGAAAAAAAAGATTAATAATTACTTGATGTGAAAAACTACCTAATTTGGTATGTCCCATAAGGTTTGTGTTTGTACCTACCTTACCTTATTATATGATATTTCACTTAATCAGTAGTATAAGACTTATCAAATGTTAGTATATTATGAGTTGGAATGCTAGAAATTTGGTTTTACTCTTTCATTATAAATCTATAACATGAAAAATTTCTAATATGGACTTGAATTTTGTTATTGTATTTATGAAACAATTCTATTTGTTATTCACAGGTGACAGATTGTTACATGAAGCTTAGTGACTGGGAATCTGCTTTGGAATGGCAAGATACAATGCAAGAGTATCGTTCTGATTTTAGCTTAGGTCCCATAAATAAAGCTTTCTCGAGTGCTGTAGATATAAACTACATTAAGTAAGTTCTGACATTTTTTTTTATTTTTTTTAATTTTTTTTTGAAAAATAAGCTAAACATGAGTTATTCTGTTGCCATGTATGTCTGTAAGAAACATGCAGAAAAAAGTAAAAAGTATTTTGAGAGAAATGGATATGATTTTGATTGATGATTCAAAACTGCCTAGAAAAATGAATCTTATTTATTGTCTCATTTTAAAATTTGCAATAAAGCAAGTATTTTCCTATTATTATAAATCCTCTTATTTACATTTGTGTTGAAAATTCTCAGTCTGGCTCACTTTTCAATACCTGGCCAAATGTCTAAACAGTATTAAAAAAATTCTTGATTTGGCTGAGAACTTCTCAGTATATTCTTGTATGCTTTATCATTCAAGTAACATTAGTGCTTTAGTGTTAAACTTTCAAACCATTCTAATTTAGGAATTTTATTTATTCAAGATCCCTCAGTTACTTTGATTCTGGCAACTACAGTGGAGTGCGTGAAAGTATGGAATTGATTCCAGGCATGTCCCTGAGTGAGTCCGTTCTTAACAATCAGCTACCTCTAGGATTAATATGGAGTCCCAAGCACAGCCTAGAGCATGCCCACAAACAATTCATCCGCATTGTTACTTTGCTGCAAGAACACAAGTCCAATACCCACAAGTATGTAAACATTTGTTATTCACATCTGCTTTTTGAAGTTTTGCGTAAAGCTATTTTAGGGCACAACTGATATTGTCTCTTTTCTTTTTTTTTTTTTTTTTTTTTTTTTTTTTTTTTTTTTTTTTAGACATGGAAAAATATATAACCTTTTTGTTCTATCTGGTATGCTCATATAAAAATGATAACTGTTAAGTATCCTCATCTATTAAGTTAAATTGAGTTTTTTGGGATTTTAAGCTGCACAGTATATGTATTAGTGAGTCAAATTGTAAATACTTGAATTTTGTAATTTCTGTTGGATAAATTTGATTTATGAACTTCTAGGAGCTCTGATAAAATGTTTTTACTTTTACATTTGTGGAATGGTGCCTACTGCAATTCTAAGAAACCATAATTATTCATTCACTTTCTATGGCCAAAAAGACCTGACAAAATGATTACATAACAGCAGTTATAAACTTAAAATCTTACATAATGTCATCTTTGTAGTTTGACTCTGCTGGTCTGTACATTGTTTCCAAGATTAAGATGAATTCATTGGATATTAAATCATTTCAATTTTGGGCAAAAAGAATGAAACAAATTGATGAAATTCTCAACATTTGAATTTATGGTATTCATTGCATTTTGAATAGGAAAAAATTGTTACGAGTACTAGTTTGCTCTTTGTATTCATTCAGCTGTTAGAGAGTATTGTTTAGCGTGTAATACTTTGGGCCTTTACTCCAAACCTTTCTTTATATCAGTGATGTTAAATGTAGGCTATTGTTAGAAGCTTCTCAATTACTCTAGCTTCATTTGTCATTTCACTGCTTGTCTGCTGCTTCCTGTTGGTTTTACCACCTAATTAAGATTAGGTGGTAAAATGAGATAGGCTTACAGCCATATCACATTTAAACACTGGTTACTGTATGAACACCAAAGTTAAGCAATATTGAGCCTGGTCAGTACTTTGACAGGTAACCTTTAGTGAATACCAGATGCTGTAAGCTTGGATGTATAGGTGGTATAATGGATAATTGCTCGGAATTGTTAATTGGAGAGCCAAATTCCAATTCCAGTTGGATTCTTTATATTCACATGCACAAATACCTTTGGGAAAGCTATGAATCCATCTCTTTTTTCCCCCTGCTATGGATTAATTAGTAAGGCATATATCATTAAATCATTATCTGCAAAAAAAAATTCTTACAATCTAAAAATGTTTTCTGGCTGCAAAGCTGTAGAAAATAAATGAATCAGGGAATGTAAAATGAATGTTTCTATATTAGGAATATGCATCCAAGGAATGTAAAAATATGACAGTGTACGTGTCAGAAACTATTTTGATATTAGATAATGAAAAAACCGAAACCATCACATCATAATTTTTAATAATGCTGTTCAATCACTAGACCAGTCAGCCATTTTCCAATGTGTGCGAGACATCACATTGAGGACATGGGGAGCCTAAGTAAATGAAAAATATCAAATTTTTATAGATTTTTTTTATTTCTGCCATATTCTAAATGTAATTAGTTCAATGATAGAATTTCTTGCTTTTACACTTGATTAACTTTTTTTATATGGTAGTATATCATGATTTCCTTTTTCCTCTTCCAGAAATGAAATGTCCAAATGTTTAGACCACTGTGAACGCCTTCTTGAGAATGTATTGATTGTGCAGTCACTGCAGTGGCCTACATTTTTACCCAGTGAATATATTGCTGAACTGGATATTGTGGCTGCTTTAAAGAAACAGCTGGATGATAAAAGGGGAAAAGTAAGAAGTAATATGGTTTTTCTCTTGTTTGGTACAGTAACTGTGAATTTAAAATCAAACTATTTCCGATCCATCTTACAATATCTTATAGGCATACTTATTTATATATATATATATATATATATATATATATATATATATATATTGGTATATATATGAATTCCAATAACCAACAATTACTATTCTTAAAAGAATCAATACAAAGTAACCAATATAATTATTTATAAAAAAAATAACATAAGTATGTTATAAAATCACTACAAAAATAGCCATTTTGTTTCAACACACTGTGTCTTATCAAGTGGTGATGTTGAAAAATAAAATAAATGGTTTTAAAAGTTTTAGATTAATTAATGATCCTACACTAGGGGGAAACATTTATTTTATTTTCAACATCATCACTTGATAAGACACAGTGTGTTGAAACAAAATGGCTATTTTTGTAGTGATTTTATAACATACTTATGTTATAATTTTTTTATAAATAATAATTTATATATATATATATATTCCCATACTTAATACTTCTTGAATTCGCTCTCGTGTGACATCATGAGCTGCAGTGCGATTTTCGCTTCCAACGTCTTATATGCATGTGTTTATCGTTGCTTGGAAATCATCCATGTAAACAGAAACAGACTATCATCACTTTCTTGTCCATATATTGCATAATATATTGTACTGTAATTGTCATCTTTGATAATGGCTTATGTAAGCCGAAAGGTTAGATTAGATTATCTTTCTTCGTTTAATGATAATGTTATTAAGCTTATCAGACGTTATGAAAAGAATTTACATAAAATAGACAACTCTTATCTATATTATTTAATGAAACATGTATGAATGAAAAAAAGCTGCCTAAATACACATATATATATATATATATATATATATATATATATATATATAGTTTTAAGGTGTGCTATATTTATGGGATAAAGTGCTCAATATCAGAGATAGAGCGTCTATAAATATACACACATCTTCCAATTACCCGCCTTCAATAATCAAACATAGTAAAGCCAATTAACTGCAAACTTTCTGACAATTCTTTCAATGAAACCATATTTAACAAGTCTAAGAAAAACTACGAAACACCCCTAAAATATAGTGGATTCTCTGCAACACTCACATACTCACCACAGAGCTCAAAAAAGCAACAGGAAGAGAAATGGTTCAACCCACCATACAGTAAAAACAAACATAGGTAAAATATTTTAACTCTTAAACAAAGACTTCCTGGAATCAAGCACTCTACATAAAATATTCAATAAAAACACTGTAAAAATCAACTATGGTTGCTCAGAGAACATGGCACAAATCATAAAAAAGCACAACAGGAAAAATATCAGCAAACCACCTGAACAAATTATACCCATGTGTAACTGAAGAATGTAATTTTGTAATTGCTTAGAAAACAACATAATATACCAAGCCACAGTAAAATCACCAGATAATGAAGAAAAAGCATATATAGGAGAAACTAAAGGACCCTGGAAACAAAGAAACTATGCACACAAAACATCTTTCACAGCACAATGCTTTCTAATTACATCTGGAAAATTAAAGACAAAACACAAATCATGCCAAAAATATCATGGAAAATAAGGAAAAGATCATAAGCCTGCAACAATCAATCCAAAACCTGCAAACTTTGCCTGGAGGAAAAAATAGCTATTATTACCTTCCCAGACCAAAATAAATTACGAAATAAACGATCTAAGCTCATCAAAATGCACGCATGAAAACAAATTTTTGCTACGTTACTTAAAAATCGAAAACTGAAAAGAATAAATAAAAATTAACAAAATAATATAAAAAAAAAAGTATAATAAATTAACCCAAACAAGTAATAAACAAATTAATAAACCACTCCTGTTAGAATAGACGAAGTAGAACAAATAAAAAATAAATACATAAAATACAAGTAAAAATAGTTAATCCAAATAAATAAAGTAAACAAACAAATTAACAAACCAATAACCATCAGAATAGACTACAACAATCAATCTAAAAATTGGGCGAGAAAATAGCTATAACTGCTATATAATGAAAAAAGAAACTGTTACTTAAAAATCGATAACCAAATATTAAAAAAAAAAAATATAAGAAATAAGTAAAAATTAATCCAAATAAACAAATTAACAAATCACTCCTGCTAAAATAACCATTAGAATTAATTAAAATAAACATAAATAAGCAAAAATAAATAAAAAAAAATAATCAATCCAAATAAATAAAATAATAAACAAATTAAAAACTGTCCCCCGCCAAGATAGCAGAGTAGACGGCAATCAATCCAAAAATTGGACAAATAAGTAGCTTTGTTTTCCCAGACTAAAACAAACTATTAAATAATCGACCTAAACAAATCCCTCCCCCCACTCACAATTTTTTTACTACATTAATAAAACATTGAAAACTGAAAAGAATAAATATAAAAAATGAAAATAAAAAAAAAGTAAAATAAATTAACCCAAATAAATAAACAAGCCACTCCCGCCAAATAACTGGCAGAATAGATTGCCCACAATGCACGACTGACCCATATATATATATATATATATATATAGTCAAGAAAAAAAATCCAACACTTGCAGTCTGACAATTGTGTTTAGCATGAAACATCCTGTTGCCCCTGAGTGTTGACTTCAATGTTCACACACACACACATATATATATATATATATATATATATATATATATATATATATATATATATATATATATATAGAGAGGGGGGGGATGCCAACTTTGTGCCAGAGGTTTTAAAGTTTAAGTTTGTACAGTTTAAAGAGCTGCAGTCATTTCAAACCCAACTAAGTGTTACAATGGTATCTGGGTGATGGTCATATTCAGCAACAAGCATTGCTGCCATGATATGTTTTATTAAAGATCACAATGTTTGTGATTTTTGTATAATTTTGACTTTCAAAATAGGTGTTGATTTAACTTTAAGATGCTAATTAGTGCTGTTTTGTTTTTTGTTTTTTTTTTTTTTGTTTTTTTTCTCTCCCTGAAGGGAGATATGTAGTTACTCAATCACTTGACCAGACTAGAGTGAACATATCTACATTGGTTTTCTTTTTTGCTCATAGTACCACTAACCAAGACAATCAAATACTGGGGAAGAAAACTATAAAGTTTGTGGTTTGCAAAAAAAATTGTTAAAAAAAGAAAAAAAGGTGCAATTTGCTATCTTTTATGAAATATACTTTGATCATCATTTTTGTGTTCTACTCAACTCTAGGAAATCAATCTTAATTCTAATTGTGCATTATTAACACATCTTGGGATTTCTGATATTTCCACCACTTAGCAAATGACCACTACAGGATCAAGATAAAACATAGGCTAAGGAAAATTTCAAAATAACTGGATTAGCTGGTGATCCCCACTGTCTTATTGGGCCATCGTTGAAGCTGAGATAACATGCATAAATAGGATTCTCACACATTTTTTCAGTGAAAGTAAATTGTTATTTTCAGATGGCTTTGATTGCTTTGAGTGAAAAGTTAGTGTTGGATGAAGCTGACCAAGATGTTAGTACTTATCTGCAAGTGATGAGACTATTAAACTTACAATATCACTTACTTCCAGGACATGATAAACGATCTGGTAAGTTATAATGATCCTTTTTTTTTTTTTTTTTTTTTTTTTTAATTCAACATGTATTATTGTAATTGAAGATTTTAAAATACTACTTTTAATGTCAGAAGATCGATATTTCTAAATTTAAATCTGTATTTTGTTGGAAATGTGATATTATTTTGTGACTTTCTTATTTTTCTAAGATTTGAATAGTCAGATGACTCGATTACGTCTAAGCACTGCCTCCTTGGCTCGCAAACAGCACAACCATCAACTTGCTGAAAGACTGCTGCAGCAACACATGAAGAGTTTGTTAAAAAATCCAGAGAATGGAAAACTTCCAACACAAGAGGGAGTCTTGCCTGCCCTCACCAGCCTACACACAAACAACTGCAATGGACTTAGTGCCCTTGATATTCTTAAGGTTACTTTCTTCTCATTTAACCCCTCCATAAAGAAACAAAAGGTATTGATGTAAATGTTCTCAGTGCTATTTTATGTACACTGTTAAGAAAATTTTAAAGCTATCTTTTAAAGTCTATTCAGCTCTGTTCCTTGTGCCATTTACCATTTATGAACTTTATGAAAATTCAGAATGCAGAATAAAAACTTTTTCAGACAAAATATTTGCTGAAAA